CCTCGATAGGGAGGCAAACGGCCGGCATTCTCTGCCGACTTCCTACTCCGCAAGGACATGATTATTGTCAAGTTTTGACTTCCCCTTGAACTTTTTATTTTTTTTTGCCGAAAAACTCAGTTGCCGCCTCACAACAAACGGGTTGTGCAAAGTCCCCCTTGAAACGCATGACCAAAGCATTCAAAATGCGGCTCATCGGGAGGGCAGTCGAATATTTTTAAAGACGGGCGGGGGGTCCCCACGCGGCACGCGCGCACCGAAGCGGATCCTCGAGATGAAGAGCGGGCCGAGACGCAAATCCAGTGGCGATACGCTTGCGCGGCGGCCTCAATCGGGCATGGAGGTATTGTCTGGTTGCGTAACCCCTCCGTTGTGCGCTCCCTCAGGCTAATGAGTACGCGCTGCCCGGCCTCAATTCCAGCCTGGACGAAGTCAAGCCCAGTTTGTCGGCCAACGCCAACCCGGAGCTGGGCCCCAGCGTGTCGCAAAGCTTCCCCGTAGGTAAGATCGAGCCTCGCCGTATGGCAACGCGTCAACATTCCAAAGCCAAACAAATAAGTCAAGGGGGAAGGCCACACCCCCCCCCCCCCCCCCCCTTTGGCGCCGGCCCTTTGGGGTGCCGTGGCTTCATTCTCGCGCTGGTCGGCTGCCCGTGTGATTTGCTCACTTTGCCGCCTGGAGGCGGGCGCAGTTTGTGCATCTTGGAACGCGGGTAACGCGCCTCGCCAAATACGCTCCGGCACGTCCGCCGCCTCGCTCTAACACCGGCATCATTTAGTTCACAACCGCGGCCGAGCCCGGCTGTCAGCTCACCTCTCTCCTTGTCGCGGTCGAAGAAGGCCCGGCCGGCTCTTTGAAATCCTGTCTTCTTGCGGCTCGTTGAGCTTGGCTCTGAGTTGACGACGACTCCTTCGCTGGTCAACACGCGCCACGATGAGCTGAAAAGGGGGGAATAAAAGATTTGCAGTTACAAGGCTGGAAATCTTCAAGCAGCTTGGAATGAGCTTGGGTTCTAAATGGGCTGGAACCCACAATTTGCGTGTCTGACTCCCCTGCCCCCCTTTCATGACATCCGAAGGACGGCAAATGAGAAGGCGACGCTGTCGCTGACAGTTTTAATGCGCAACTTTTTCTTGCCTTGTCGAAAAAGTGAACTTTTCGACGTCAAAGTCAGCGGGCTGCCGTTGTGCCAAATCTGAAGAAGGTCTCGGGTGGCTTTTGCGTCACTCACGAGAGATTTGGATGCCTTGCAGGGCAAGTCGAAGCCAACCAAACGAGCCGCGATACTTCGGCCGGGATCCGATTTTGCCTGAAATTGTGCACTAACGAGGAGGGGGGGAAATTTCCGATTTCACATCCCACTTTCGAATGTGAGGTCGCAGATGGAATTTGCATCATCTATCGGGCCGGATTCATGAAGTCACGGCCGGAGTTCGGGATTGTGACGCCAGCCATCGAAATCTTTTGTGTCCTGCGCTGATCCTATTAGGCGCTTGAAAAGCAGCAGGCTCCGCTAAGAAAGGAGTGAAGGCCATTGTGCCCAGCATCGAAATTCAGAGGCCAGGTCTTCTCTCTCTCTCTCTCTCCCCTTTTGCTCCACAGTCGCTGCTAAATAGTCCCGCTTACCCCGAGAAAACTCCACCGAGGATAATTGCATATTGTCAGGTCATTTCTATTGTTGAGATGGGAAGACATTTTATTTGATGAATCTCGGCTGAGGTGCGCCGTCTTCCGCTTCGAATTCAAATGGGCTCCATTTGTGAAGGATTTTTTTTTTCTTCCCTCCCCAACGAGTCAATGGCGAGATGGCTTCGATACGGCCGATTGTCCGCGCTTTCTATTGCGAGTTCCTGAGCTGAGCTGTTTTTCTTCTCGTCAATCAACGGGGAGTTTGGAACTTCTCGAACGATGCAAAGTGACAAAGTGTGTGGG